TAGTCCGGTTGGAGAGAGAATACCCAAACCTTTTAAATCATGGATCTTTTCAATTATCCAAGATTTACACAAACATCTTAACCCATTTATTACATGAAACAGGGAGTTTGTGCCTTTTGGACACTGTTGTGTGTGAATCAAGACCTTGTGCTCAAGAAAGAATTACCTTAACTGCTCTTCTAGATAAAAGATCAATAGGATTGTTTCTTGCAATCTCCTTGAGAATTTGTTTATGGTCTTTTAAAAGATGTCATGCCAGAAAATTTATTATATTTCAGCCTACCTGGTAATAAAGTCAGTACTCAGTCCTTCCAACTTGTTACAGTACTTGCCAGAGCTCATGCTGTGTTGGCCTACCCTTCAAGAATCCAGGGTCACCTTTGAGTAATGAACCTAAAGTAGTACAGGTAAACCAGTCAGGCTAAAACTTGGGTTTGTGAACTGGAGACTATTCTGTGCTGGTTTAATATTTTTTACCTTTTATATTCCCTTTCCTTGCATTTGTATCTTTAGCCATTATAATTAAGCACTATCTGGAAAACTGGTTTTAGAAAAATGTGCTTAGCCATGGAAACCAAAATTAAGTGGCATGTTTTGACCAAGGTTAATTGACTTGAGTGCTTTTTAATATTCTTGGCATTTTAAGCCAAAGTCCAGAGATTGTTCCACAGCACCAGTGGATTAGTCTTTAAATCTAGATGAACATGAAAAATGATGACCAGAGAACTCTATTGCCTTTGAGGACTTGAATCTAAGCCCCATTTTTAAAATGTCTTCTGGTCACTGGGACTAGAAAGGAACAGGGGCACACACACTCATGCTTCTCATGCTTCCAAATTGAGTGGTCAAGACGCCACTCAGATTGTAAACTCATCTAGGGCATTGTGCCTGGTAAGTGCATGTTTCAGCTGTTATAGATGAGTTGGTTTACTTTTTCTGGAAAAGATGAAACATACCTTGGAAGAAAAACAACTGCTGTGTTCTCCTGAGATTAAGAAGTTTGACTTTTTGGTGAGGCAGTTGAGGTTAAGTGACTTGCCCAGGGTCACACAGCTAGTAAGTACCAAATATCTGAGGCCGGATTTGAGCTGACTCCAGGGCCTGTACTCTATCCACTTTGCCACCAGCTGCCCTGACAGTCATTATTTATAACTACATCAAAATATAAGCTTTTTCATTAAATTTTTTGAAAGCTAATAGGAAATGGGTTTCCTTTTTTTGCGTTTTTTTTTTAAGGCAATTGGGGTTAAGTGACTTGCCCAGGGTCACACAGCTAGTAAGTATCAAGTGTTTGATATGAGGCTGGATTTGAATTCAGGGCTGGTGTTCTATCTGTTGTGCCACCTAGCTGCCCCTGGAAATGGGTTTTCTGTAAATGGAACTTTTAACAAGACATTGGCTGTGAGGCTAGTGATTTGAACTATAACTTACAGAGCTGAGACATCTGTTTACTTTAACTCAGATGTTTGTCTTTTAAAACAATTCAGGTAGTATAGTGGGAACTAGATTGGTATACCTAAGGAGATTTGCAATATAAGACACTCCAACAGATAGTTAGAAATGTTTTGTCATACTGAAACCTTATTGTATCTCTCCCCAAAATTTTTTCATTAGCTGTCCACTGGAAATTAGGAATTAATCTCTTGGATGACTTGTTTAAAGAAAAACAAAAGGCAGTAATTTTTAAGAAATGAGCAGTCCTTAATTCTTGTTGTTTGTCCTTTCTCAAAGAGGACCATGACATCATCAAGGTGATGCCAAAACGTGCAAGTGAATTGTATTTAAATGAGAGAGAGTTGTGCATAGTCAAAGTGGCCAGCCTCATTTTTCTCCATAGATCAGGACAACTGGAGATGGCCCCAGATGCAGTGGGAAACCAGGACCTTTTAAAGTTAAGGTCTTTCCTAGGTCCCTGTTTCATAATCTATCTTTAATCTACTCCTAAAGGAAATGGAAATTCATTAAGAACTTCTAGCTGTATCCTCTTATAGTAAGTTATTTGCAAATGTATTTAAAATTGCATATAATGGGATTTTTTTTTAATCGTCCAAAAGCAATATACTGAAGATACTATTTCAAGATGTCTGGGTTGAGAATACCTCACACTTGGTAGATAGGGGGGAAATCATTAAAATAATCTTTTGCTAAATTTGGGGCCAAGAGGATGAGCAGCTGAAGGTGCTTATGAGGCAGTATGGGCAGCAAGACTGGAAGTTTCTTGAAAGCCACTTTCCTGTAAGCACTGGGGCTTCTGGGAGCTCTATTTCTGATTTTGGGCCTTTCTTCTGGGGAGGGAATGGGTGATTGATTTCTGAATAGCCCTTGGGTATACTGCTTCGAACACATAGTTTTGGCTTTTTGTTTGTGTTTTGTTTTTCTCCAAGAAAGGGGATCATAGAATGTCAGAGCTGGAAAGGACCCTAGAGATCATCTAGTCAACCCCCTCATTTGCAGAGGGGAAAACTGAGGTAGGGAAGTGGATTGATTTGTTCAAGGTTATATAGATATCAGGTTTAGCAGAGCAGATAAGGGAACCAACTAGTTCTGGGTGGAACCTCAGCACTTGGAAAAATTTACAGTTGGCTCTTTGGCATACCCTCAAACAGCCTTTCCCTTTTTAGCCTTGGGGTAGTATGGAGTGAGTGGAATGAAGCCCTTTATTGCCAGCAGGAGTTTGGCCTAGACAGGGCCTCCTTGCTGTTTGCTTAGGTTTTAAAACTTGAAGCCTTCAGTTTTAAGAAATTGGCTTATTGTTTATTACCTGTGATGATAAGTTCTTTCAGCAGACATTTGAATACCTATAGTATACGGTAGAACATGCATAGGATTCTGAAGCAGGCAAACAGTTCCTGCCCTGGAAGTTTATGAGCTAGTAGAGGGGCAGTAGTATCAGTACAAAATATTCTGGGGTAAAGGAGTGGTTTAAGAGGAGTGAACATAGGTTGGAAAGAGGTTAGGAAAGGCTTCTTAAGTGGTTTTAGAGCTGGGCCTTCAAGAATGGGTTAAGTAATGAAAAAATGTCAGAAAAGGAGGTTTAGCAGTTTCAGATCTTAAACTATATTGTAAAACAGTAATTATCAAACCTATCTGGTACTGGCTCAGTAGTAGAAAGGTAGATCAATAGAATAGAGTAGATATACAATACATAGTAATAAATGATTTTAGTAATCTTGTGTTGATACATGCAAAGATTTAAGCTTTCAGGATAAGAATTCACTGGTTAAAAAATTGTTGGGAAAACTGGAGATTAGTCTGGCAGAAACTGGATATAGACCAATATCAGATTTATGGATAGAAGAATTTTTGAATAAACGAGAGATAGAGAGCACTGTGAGATGTAAAATGAATAATTTTGAGTATATTAAATTAAAAGGTTTTACTACAAATAAAACCAATGCTTCTAAGATTAGAAAAACAGGAAAAAATGAGGGGAAGTTTTATAGATGGTTTCTCAGATAAAGGCCACATATCTCAAATATACAGAGAACTTTGTCAAATTTTAAGAACATAAATCATTCCTTAATTGATAAGTGGTCAAAGGATGTAATCAGGTAATTTTTGGAGGAAGAAATCAAGGCTACAAATAGTTATATGTGAAAAATGCTCTAAATCATTATTGATATTTTGAGATACCATCTCACATCTATAAGATTGCTAAAACAATAGAAGGTAAATATTGGAGGGGATGTGGAAAAATTGGGACACTAATACTTGGAACTGTGAACTGATCCAATCGTTTTGGAGAGTAATGTGGAATTTATCCAAAGAGTTATAGAACTGTATACCCTTTGACCAAGCAACACCACTTTTAGGTCTCTTTTTCGAGGTGATCAAAGAAAAAGAACCTATATGTTTTAAAATATTCATAGCAGCTCTTTGTGGGGTCTCAAGGAGCTGAAAATTGAAGGGGGTGCTCATCAGTTGGGGAATGGCTGAATAAGTTGTATATGATTGTGATGGAATACTACTGTATTGAAAGAAATGATAAGAAGGTTGATTTTAGGAAAACATGGAAAGACTTGCATGAAATAATGAAGAGTGAAATGAGCAGAACCAAGAGAATATTGTAAACAGTAACGGCAATATTGTTCAAAAAGTAAATGAACAAGCTTTTTTGAATTATGTGAATATTCAAAACTACAAAAGACCTGTGAAGGAAGGTACTATCCATCTCCAGAGAAAGAATTGATATATAGGACTTTGTATAGTTTCACCTATATATCTGTGTCAAATGTTGGCCTTCTCTAGTGTGGAATTGGGAAGGGAAGGAAACAGCTTAGAAGTCAAATGTAACAAAAAAATTTTAAATACTGTTTTAAAAAGAATGGGATAGGATTAGGTTTATCCAGATGTTTCAGGTAACAGGAACATAGGAAGGATAACTGATACGTTATTGTGCCAGATCCAAGAGACAGTTTGATAGAAATAAATATGAAATCATTTTAGATTTTGAAAAAGCCAAAAGCCTCTTTAAAATCTTCTGCACTAAAGAAGAGTATAAGCTAGCCAAAACGTGATGCAGACAAGACCAGGAGATTTTAGTGAACTTCAGACTTAGCATGAATCTGGTGTGACTAAGTTTGCCAGTTAGGAAAACCAAATGATTTACTATGGCATTGGAAAGGGAAGGGGCTTTCTCTGTCTCTTAGAAAATGACTAGTTACTTATGAGTTAAATTTGGTTTATGCATTATGATGAAAGTCTTATGAAAGGCTACTCTTTTCATTCCCAAATTTTTGTGGCCTATTTTCTGTAGGCACAGACATGTATATCTGTGTGGTATGTATGCAGAGTTGTTTCATGTGTTTAAATTAATGCATTTTCTACCTAGCTTTGTGTAGTCACAAAGCGGCCTTGGGCAAATACTTTTTTCCCTTGGACCTCTGCTTTCTCCTGTATCATAAAGGGGTTGACCAAGATGATCCCTAAGGTTCTGCATGAAAATAAAGTGCAAGAAAAGGTTAAAGTCATGTTCTCAGCTCTCCTGTTTGCCTCTACAGACCATGGAACCAAAATGGTGGTTATTTATGCTTTTGCTGCTCCTTGGAACAGTGGTTCAGGCACATGATGGACATGATGATGAAGAAGATGATGATGATGATGATGATGATGTGATTGATGTAGAAGAAGACCTGGAAGATGGCATTGAGGAAGTAGAAGACTCAAAGCCTGGAGATGGTGCTACTCTTCCACCTCCATCACCGAAGGTTGGAACATCTTTAACATTACACATTTTTCTTTTGCTGTAATTAATGCATTAAGATAAACTGGGATCTTTATATTTTAAAGTCAAGAATATGTATTGAGAATCTATTTTTGAAAGCTTAGATTTAAAAAAAAAGTACTTATTCTTTGTCCTTCCAAAAGGAAAAAGATTTGGCCAATTTTAAGAGACTAGACTAGAGACCTATTTTTAAATACCAATATTCTTTTTTTAAAAAAAAGTTTTGAGTTGGCTGGAAACAAGCAAAAAAAGGTGCCGCTTGCCCCCCAAATAGATTACTGAAGGTTCAGTATTGATTTTTCTTTTGTTATTTTTAAATTCAGGTTACCTACAAAGCCCCCGTTCCAACAGGGGAGGTTTACTTTGTTGATGCCTTCGACAAGGGAATGCTGGTCGGGTAAGCATGATTTGGGAGGAAATGTATAAAGAAGCAGATATTCTATAAATTGAAGTTAGAGTGGTGTGATATGGAATTTGGATCTTTATATATCTAAAATTTTGCAAAATAACCTGAAATTAAGATTCCCTTCAATTTATTTTGAAGTGACTATTTATCCTAGGTCTTTGTTATATTATAGTAATACATAAATAGTAGTGAACTCTGCTGATAAGGATATGAGGATTACATTATTCCTTTTAAATTTAGGATTGTATGGTTGAGAAAATATAGGTATTTATACAGGGTGTAAGTGGATATATAAGATAGATTTCCTCCCTTCCCAACATACTATCTTTGTAACATAAAAAGGAGGGAAAATTCAGTAAAACCAACCAATATATCAACTGATTCTGATAGTAATATATGTAATATTTCACTTGCTTAGCCCTCTACCTCTTCAGTAAAGAAAGACTGATACATTTTCTTGAGATCTTTGAAGCCAGGGTTGGTTGGTTCAGTCTTTCCATTGCATTGTTGTGGTCAGTGGTACTTGTACTCTTGGTTCTTCACTTTGTATCAGTTATATATCTGCCCCAAGAGTTTCTGAATTTTTAATATTTATTGCTTCTACAACAGGTTTAGAATTGCGTGTACCATAATTTGTTTATCCATTTCCTGATATATGGGAATATACTTTGTTACTACATCTTGGCTACCATGAAAATTTTTTGCTTTGAATTATTTTGGTTGGTAAGGGACCTTTAAACTCCTTAGAATACACTTCTAGCAGTGAGATTACTTGAGATAGAAAATATTTTTAAGAATGGGAATAGCAGAAATATGAATATCTGCACTTTGCTTTACCAGTAGCGTTGTTGGCATATGTAACAAAAATTATCTTCAAAGATAAACTTTCAGCTATATCTTAATGTTTGTTTGGGTTTGTTTTTACTACAGATGGGTTTTATCCAAAGCCAAGAAGGATGATACCGACGATGAGATTGCCAAATATGATGGTGAGAATTCCATCTAACTTAACAGAGTGGAAATATATGACTTAGCAAAAATAACTCCTTGCCTTTGCTTTACTGTCATTTGCAGGGCAAGTGGTGTGGGCAAAGCAGTTGATCTCTTAGGCAGTAGTTTAATCCTTACTATATTCCTGTCTTCCATGTGCAGTAATTTGAGCCTTTGTTAGTTTAAGAGCAAATTCAGAGCTTGTTTGTAGCATGTGATGTCAGCATAGAGAGTTTGTCAAACGTCTATGATCTCCCAGTAGAGTGTATTACAGCCTCATCTGTAAAATGAGACGGTTCAGAGGATTTAGAGTTGGAAGGGATTAGAATCCAGTTGTTGGTTTGACAGAAGAGGAAACTGAGATCCAGGTCATCTGACTGGCTTATCACAGACAAGTAGCTAAGGAGACATTGGTACACCCACCCCGTCCCCAACTCTAAAACCAGTCCTCTTTGCACTGCACCATTCCTGTCTCCTAAACTAGATTGGGTTAGATGAACTCTAAAATTTCCTTGTGCTTTAGATTCTGTTATTCAGAACAAATAACATATGATTAGGGAGCCCTGAAATTTCAAGCAATACATGTGTTGTTGTGCAGGTAAATGGGAAGTAGAAGAAATGAAGGAATCTAAACTTCCAGGAGATAAAGGGCTTGTATTGCTATCACGAGCCAAACATCATGCCATCTCTGCGAGGCTGAACAAGCCCTTTACATTTGACACTAAGCCTCTCATCGTTCAGTAAGTGAAAACTAGCTTGATTGAACAATGTTGCAGGTGCAGGGTGGGGAGGGCGATATTTTTAAAGTTTTGATCTGAAAGTTATACTGTTTGTAAAAATGCTCATTTTACTCTTCTGGGCTTTCCTATAAAATATAAATGGGGCTACTCTTCTCCCCAGTAGTGAGTGAATATGTGAGCTTTTCAGTCATTTCATTGTCTGATACAGAGCACTAAAATAAGTGCTTGAGTAGTATAAAAATAAGATTAATACACAGAAGAGTAAAGGATTGCTTTTTACTTTTAGAGTGGTATACTGTTAGTGTAGGAAATCCCTTTTACTGGTATAGATGAGCATCTGGTCTCTGACTTAATTTTAGTTTTCTGGGGCATTGAGTGGTTAAGCAACTAGAGATACTAAAATCTGGACTTGAACCCCCCAAGACATATATACCACAGCTGACCTTCTGTCCTCCATGCCACAATGCCTCTTCAAAATTGTTTTATTAGTGCTAAAGTTATCCCCTTTCCCCTATCAAAAAAAAAAATGAATGCTTACATAGCCTTCTGACTTTGTGTTTAAAATCAGGTATGAGGTAAATTTCCAAAATGGAATAGAATGTGGTGGTGCCTATGTGAAATTGCTTTCAAGAACCCCAGAGTTGAATCTGGTAGGTATTATTCATTTTCTGTATACAGATAAAAGAGTGTTTTTTGTTGTGTTTTTTTCCCCTCCAGAATCTCTAGGGATAGGAAATATTTTAAGTCACATGAGAATGCTTTACTTCAGAAATATTTCCAAAAAGATTTTAGAGCCATTGCCCTCTTTGACACTAGTTTTTTATGAATTAGGAGTAAAGAGATGATAACCCTCTGCTAATACAGATACTTGAGTTTTTCTGTGTCTCCCATTCTAGTTAGAATGGCTTGATAACATTTTTCTGTATACAGTTCTGATCATGTTGCCTTTTTGGGTTGGCGGTGATTTTGGAAATGTGTTTAAAGACTCCCCCGTTGGCCCTTTTGGCTTGTCCTCAGTTTACTTTACATCTTTGACTCAATAGAAATTGAGATTTAAAGAATTAAATTAGGGGAAGTTAAGGGGAAGGAGGCTAGGATAGGCACTTGAATCCTAATGTAATCCTTCATAATTCATTTGCTTTTGTCTTCAAAGGATCAGTTCCACGACAAGACCCCTTACACAATTATGTTTGGTCCAGATAAATGTGGAGAGGACTATAAGCTGCACTTCATCTTCCGGCATAAAAACCCAAAGACAGGCATTTATGAGGAGAAGCATGCTAAGAGACCAGACACAGATCTGAAGACCTACTTTACTGATAAGAAAACACATCTGTATACATTAGGTAATAGCCATGAGGCCGAGTCTAGTGGGAGTATCAGAAATTCTCTTATTTGGATGGGAGCTGCCGAACGAGAATTTAAATTTAGTAAAAGAAGTCTATATTGATGCTGTTTTTTAGAGATAAAACAAGTTTTTTTTAACTTATTAATTTATTTTGATTTATCAACAATCACTTCCACAAGCTTTTGAGTTTTAAATTTTTCTCCTCCTCCCTCCCCAAAATGGTGTGCAGATGTAGGCTATACATATACATTCCTATTAAACATATTTTCACATTAGTCATGTTATAAGGAAGAATTAGAACCAATAGGAACCACCAGAAAGAGGAAACAAAACAAAACAAAAGGAAAAAATAGCAAATAATATGCTTCAATCTGCATTCAAACTCCATAGTTCTTTCTTTGGATATATGTGGATAGCATTTTCCATCATGAGACCTTTGGAGAGGTCTTAGATCCTTGCATCGCTGAGAAGAGCTAAGTCTATCAAAGTTAGTCATTATACAACATGGCTGTTAGTGTGTACATCATTCTCCTGGTTCTGCTTACTTCAGTCACCATTAGTCCATACAAGTCTTTCCAGGTTTTTCTGAAGTCTGTCTGCTCATCATTTCTTATAGCACAACAGTATTCCATTCCATTCATATACCACAACTTGTTCAGCCATTCCCCAGTTGATAGGCATCCTCTCAATTTCCAATTCTTGGCCACCACAAAAAGAGCTGCTATAAATATTTTTGTACATGTGGGTCCCTTCCCATTTTTATGATCTTTTTGGGATACAAACCTAGTTGGTGGTATTGGTAGGTCAAAAGGGTATGCACATTTTTATAGCCCTGTGGGCATAAGTTCCAAATTGTTCTTCAGAATGGTTGAATCAATTCATAACTCCACCAACAATGTATTAATGTTCCAATTTTCCCACATCTTCTCCAACATTTATCATTTTCTGGTTTTGTTATGTTAGCCAATCTGATAGGTGTGATGTGGTATCTCAGAGTTGTTTTGATTTGCATTTCTCTAATCAATAGTGATTTAGAGCATGACTATAGATGGCTTAAATTTCTTCATCTGAGAACTGCCCGTTCATATCCTTTGACCATTTATCAGTTAGGGAATGACTTGTATTCTTGTAAATTTGACTTAATTCTCTATATATTTTAGAAATGAGAACCTTATTGGAGACACTGGTTGTAAAAATTCCCAGTTTTTTACTTCCTTCGTGATCTTGGTTGCATTGGCTTTGTGCAAAAACTTTTCCATTTAATGTAATCAAAATTACCCATTTTGCATTTCATAATGTTCTCTGTCTCCTGTTTGGTCGTGAACAGTTGTCGTTTTTTAGCACTGAAAGTTCAAAATGGCAAGTTCAGATAAGATATGTTTGAATATTTTAAGAGCAAAATTCTTGTCCCAAAGCAAATGTTTTACAGAGGAATATATCTAGCAAAGAGAGCACTGGATGACCTCTCTTAATTCCTTTGTTGTTGTTCAGTAGTCTTTTTCAATCATGTACGACTCTTTTGTAACCCCATTTGGGGTTTTCTTCCAAAGATACTGGAGGGATTTGCCATTTCCTTCTCCATCTCATTTTACAGACAAAGAGCTGAGGCAGACAGGGTTAAGTGATTTGCCTACAGTCACTCAGCTAGCAAGTATCTGAGGCCTGATTTGAACTCAGGAAGATGACTCTTCCCAACTCTAACCTGGCACTCTATCCACTTTGCCACCTAGCTTCCCCATCTTAATTCTTAATTGATCTTAAGTCTTTAGACTTACCTTGTTTCTCTTAGTTTTTGTTTTCTTTGTTGCCCAAATGATGTTATGGTAAATTGAATGGGGTTATTTAAGGGATGGAAATATGCATGTGTAGAGTATATAATTTTCTCATTGTTTTGAAACTGATTATTTTTTTCATTACTTAATTTAAAATTAAGAAGATGAGTGATGGCAGTCAAAACTTAGATACCTTTCCCCTCTAGAGCGAAATTGACTTAAAAGTTCTTTGTTCTCATGAGGAATAACAGTTTGTGCTATGTCAATGGTGTGAGTGAGGTAGAATATAAGCCATCCTCCATTGTCCCTTTAGATCTTACTTTGGGTAAACACTTGTGAATGAATGGTCTTTTGATCGGGTCTTGCACAGAATATAAATGTTTAATAAATGCTTGGGTGATAAAGCTCTTCTGTATTAGTAGGGAACTAGTAGCAATAAGTACTATTATATTTTGGGCAGTGTGTGGAACAGTGTTAGGCAAAATTCTTCTTGCTCTGTAATATTTTTCTGTAATTTTTTTTCATAGTCTTGAATCCAGATAATAGCTTTGAAATATTAGTTGATCAAACAGTTGTGAATAGTGGAAACCTGCTGAATGATATGACTCCTCCTGTGAATCCTCCCCGGGAAATTGAGGACCCAAATGACCAGAAGCCTGAGGACTGGGATGAGAGGCCCAAGATACCAGATCCTGATGCTGTCAAACCAGATGACTGGTGAGTTAGGGCTGAGTGACTTGAAGAGCTTTTTTACTACTAGGGTAATCAGTCTTAATTATAGTAAATACTTGAATATAGAATGGGAGCTGTTGTTATGAAATTTGGCTTTTAAAAAAAAATATTCTGTGGTTGGAATTTATCTTTAAGAACTCTTAGACATCTCCATTTTGCACATTGGGAAACTGGCTCCCAGAAAGACAAAGTTGTTGAAGGTCACTTAGCTTGGTTCAGTAGCAAAGTAGGAATAGACCCCAAGTCTCTTAATATAAAACATTTTTTCTGCTGTACCAGGGCTGGTTCATGTTTATATTAAATAATTCAAGTGTAAAACAATACAGGAACAATTGTAAACCACCTGCTTTTAGTATTGATTTAATTACTTTTTTTTTAAGTTTCTAATTTTTGGTAAGTGGCCAAATGATTTCTATCTTACTGGCTTTGGAATTATTTTAGAAAAACTAAATAAAGCTAGATTACAGCAGTAAAGTTTTTTTTTAATCTGTTCTGATTAACTTTATAAAGAATGTGGGTGTATATATGTGTGTGTGTGTATACACACACATTTATATACTCAGTCTTTTGGGTCATTTAACAAATATTAATTTGTGATGTTCAGGGTACTCTTCTAGGTGCCTCAGGATATACAAAAATGCAAAAAAGGATTTATTCTCTAAAAGAAGATACATTAAGGAGAAGGGCAATATGATAATCAAGTTATAGCCACTTACAAGTGATTTCTGTGTGCCAACATGTGTACACACATTAAATATAGTTCATATAAATACAAGGCTGCTGAGGAATGAGCAGAGTACTTGAATTTGACAGGATCAGGAAAGGTTCCAGGTAAAGGTAGTGCTTGAATTAAATCCTGAAGGAAGTTAGGTATTCTATGAGGACAGAGAACTTTGTAGGCGTGGGGGAGTAGTGTATGAAGGACAGACAGAAAGGCAGTTTGGTTAGTTTGTAATAAGCAGGGTAATACATATAGTGAGAGTGAAAAGATAAATTTGGGCCAGATGGTGAAGGGCTTTAAAAGGCCAAACAGAAGCCATAGGGTGTCAGTGGAATTTTTGAGTTAGTGACATGGTCAGATGCATACTGTGGGAAAGTTGCTTTGGGAGCTGTGTGAAGGATTGGATTAAGAAGAGATTTGAATCAGGGAGACCAGCAAGGATACTATTGAAATAGACCAAACAAGATGAGGTGAAGGCCTAAAAACTAAGGTGGTGTCTCTGTACACAAATAAGTATAATACAAATGTACTGGGGGGGAGTATCAGGATAAAGCATTCTTAAGAAAATTTGAGTAGGAGTGCTTTGAGTAAGCCAGGAAGGGGCCAGGGCAGAATAGCTTACACAGAACACCTGGTTCTCTCCCTGTCATATTCTTTCCATGACCTTGAGTAGAACTATAAAAAGCTGCTTGGTGTCCTGGAGGGAATGCTGAGTTTAGAATCAAGAAAGCTGGATTCAAATCCTGCCTCAGTAACTTAATTGTGGGCCAGTCACTTAACCTCTCAGTGTCTTGGTCAGCTTCCTCATCTTTAAAATGAAGATAATAATACTTCTACTGCCTTATTTAGGGGGTTGTGAAGAAAATGCTTTACAAACCTTACATAAATAGTACCAGTAGGTTTGGTAAAGCATGGCGATATAATCATTATTAAGTAACCTTATTATGTGTTTCCCCCTGGCTCTTAAGGGATGAGTCTGCTCCTGCTAAGATTCCAGATGAGGATGCTACAAAACCTGAAGGCTGGTTGGATGATGAGCCTGAATATGTATCTGATCCAGATGCAGAAAAGCCAGAGGACTGGTAGGTCTAAACCTCTCTCCCTGTCTCCCACCCCATCCTTCTTTTTTTTTGGTTAAAGAATTCTTTAACCAAAAACTGGGATTAAGGACCTGTCATCAGCAGAATATTTTTAAACTATTGAAATAACGCAGCACTATGAAGCTGGGTTATTTTTAAACAGTATCTTAGGGAAAAGCAATGAATGAATATTCTGTATGTAGCGAAATATATTTAAAATCCTAAAATTTTATCTCTAGGGATGAAGATATGGATGGAGAGTGGGAAGCTCCCCAAATTGCGAACCCAAAATGTGAGTCAGCCCCTGGTTGTGGTGTCTGGCAAAGACCTACCATTGACAATCCCAATTACAAAGGCAAATGGAAAGCACCTATGATTGACAATCCTAACTACCAGGTTCGTGTCTGATGTTGGTTTGATCTCTTGACTCTTTGGGGACTTTGAGCATGGTCATTTTGTTGAGAAGGTGGCTGCCTGATGTCTTTCATTGATTCTGAAAGTATTAGAAGTTCAAATTGAAACAAAATTTTATGTTAATGCAGAGATAGTTGAGTGGTTCTAATTGTTATCAGCTTAGATAATGGAGACTGTAAATGATGTCTCTTTATAATTTACAGTTTACGGATTTGTCCCTTTTTCCCCCTTTGAAACCAGAACCTCTGGTTTAGAAATGCTACCACCAGGTGGCAGTGGTGCCTCGGTCCTGTAGCTAAGCTCTGGGCAAGGAATCTGGAGATCTGGGCTCTTGTTCTAGCTAGTCATGTATTCATGGACAAGTGATATGACCCCCTAGTCTTTGTTTTTCTTTTGTACTTAAAAATTAGGGAGGTGCTACCCCAGCATACATCATAGGGTCAGCTGAGGATCAGATGAGGCTATGTATGAAGTTGCTTTAAATTATTTAAAAATTAACTTCTGTTAAAACAACTGAACTTAATATTATCAGATAATAGATTAAAGAGATGTATAGCTTTTGAGCAGCTTTTAAGGGATATTCTGATGTAATGGATAGGATCTGAAATTAAGAGTAATACCTTGACTTCTACTTTGGGGCATAGACTTATGGTATGACGTTTTATCATTCAAACTACAGAATGTAGGTATTTCCGTTTGAGAGATGGACAATTATGTAGGTGTTGAATGTTAAATTTTTCTGTTTTTTAACTTATTCTAAGATATGTTTCAAGTGATTTGAATCTGGGTAGAAGAAAAAAATAGACTGAAATCCATTATCTCCTAACCTAATGGTTTCTGTTCTAGTGATCTTAAATGCAATTTCTCTCCAGAAATTCTTTATAAATTCATTTGCTTCTTTTTTAGAAATATTTAAAATTTTTGTTTTCATGATGAGAGATGGTTTGCAGTTATATACATGTGCCTTGGTTATTTTTATAATGAGAATAAAGAGAAGATCTTGCTTTCGTTTATTTCCTTGCTATTTTCTTTATAGGGAATCTGGAAACCCAGGAAGATTCCAAATCCAGATTTCTTTGAAGATCTAGAGCCATTTAAAATGACTCCTTTCAGTGCTGTGGGTCTGGAGCTGTGGTCTATGACATCAGACATCTTTTTCGACAACTTTATTATTTGTGCAGACCGAGGAGTTGCAGATGATTGGGCCAATGATGGCTGGGGTCTGAAGAAAGCTGCTGATGGGGCTGCAGAGGTTGGTGAATGTGCTTCTGAGGAAACACAAGAATTCATGAAAGGTTGTCTGGTTCACTCACCAAATTATTCAAAGGGACTAGAAAATTTGAGCCTCACTGTCCTGTGCACAAAAGTGCAGATTCCAAAAGAGAAGGGAAATGAAAGCAAATTGAACTGGATCTTCTAGGACTTAAGGCTCAATTTTAGACCTTTCATTAACCAAACTGATGTAATAATTGCTTTTTGATTGTCCCATCTTTGTGAATTACACTTTGAAAAGTCAGAAGCTTCAGTTGCACACTGGCTTCTTTTAATAGAGACTTTTAAAGAGTGTAGACATTGTAAAATTAGAGCAGGAGAACTGGGTGAACTTCTCAATCAACAAGCACATGTTAAGAACCTATGTGCTGTGCAATATGCTTAGTGCCTAGGATATAAAGCCCTGCCCTCAGATTATTTTGAGAAACAAAAAATGTTTTAAAAAAATAAAGGAAATGTACACGGTGGTTTGGGGAAGGATGGCTGGCACAGGCAGTGGGGGATCAGAAAAGGCTTTAATAGAAGGTGGTGCTTGAGCTGAGTCTTGAAAGACCTAAGGAATGCTTTGAGATAGAGGTGAGGACAGTTAATCCCAAGAAGGGGGAAAAACTAGTGAAAACCATATTAGCTAGGTTGTAGAGTATGATTGTAGCAAAAATTTTAATCGAATGCCCTCTACTTGTATTTCAGCCTGGTGTCATGGGGCAGATGCTTGAAGCAGCTGAGGAACGTCCATGGCTTTGGGTGGTCTATATCCTTACTGTGGCCTTGCCATTGTTCCTTGTGATCCTCTTCTGCTGTTCTGGAAAGGTATGGGTTTCTTTGGAGAAATTTATTTGGAAAGACATTAGCTTTGGTGACTTACTTAAAAGATAAAAGCAGGGTTCTCCTGAAAAACTTACAAGAAATAACAAAGCCAAAAGGGCTCTATAGTCTGGCTCACCAATTCAGAAGTACCTTTCTAATTTAAATTGTTTTGTCCTAGTAATGCACTGGAAATGTGTAAACCCTCAGCCAATTTTGTGAGGATTTTATTGTTTCAGAAACAGCCCAGTGCTGCAGAGTATAAGAAGACTGATGCTCCTCAACCAGATGTGAAGGAAGAGGAGGAGGAGGAGAAAGAGGAGGAAAAGGAGAAGAGAGATGAAGAAGAAGAAACTGAAGAGAAAATTGGTGAGGACTCATTAAGTATTTCAGATCTGTAGTGCTGAGTAGTATCTATTTAAACTCAGGATTCAAAGGCTGATAAATGCCAAATGATTTGATTTTGCCGAAAGTTTTTGCTCATAACTCCCTATGATTTCCCTTCAGCATGTCTAAAACCAAACTTACTCTTTCCCTCTAAACCTATTCCTGCTTTTGCTATTAGTCTGTGGCATTAATCAAGCCTTTAAAATTTTAAAAATATTTTTATTGTTATTTTGATACTCATTTTTATAGAATTTGATTCCCAAATTCTCTTTCCCACCCCTCTCTTCTCCTTGAAAAGGCAAGCAATATATTGATTATATGTGTGTGGTCATGCAAACATTTCCATATTGGCCATGCTGCAAAAGAAAACACACACACATACACACACACACACACACACAGAGAAAGTGTAAAGTATGCTTCAGTCTACACTGGAGTTCATTTCTCAAGTCCTTTGGGATTGTTGTGGATCATTGTACTTGATCAGAATAGTTGTCATTATCCATACTTCATAATTGTACAAAATTGCTGCTACTGTGTACAGTGTTCTCCTGGTTCTGCTCATTTCATTTTGTATCCATTCCTGTAAGTCTTCTCAGGTGTTTTTGGAATCATTTCTTATGGCATCAAACTTTTGACTTTTTTATCTTACTCATCCAGTTCTATCAATTATACTTCCATAATAGCTCTCCGCTGTACCCTCTATTCCAGATGTAACCCCTTTAATACAGGCTCTCATTATTCCCTGCCTGAACTACAGTAGTAAACTTCTTAGGCTTTCTTTTCTGCCCTTGAAATTGCTGCTAGATTAATTTCCCTTTATTTTGATTTATCAACAATCACTTCCATAAGCTTTTGACTTTTAAATTTTTCTCTCCCTCCCCAAGACGCAATCTGATATAGGCCGTACACATCATTCCTATTAAACATATTTTCAAGAAGAATTAGAACCAATAGGAGGAACCGTAAGAAAGAGGAAACAAAACAAAATGGAAGGGAAGAAAAGCAAATGTATACTTTGATCTGCATTTAAACTCCATAGTTCTTTCTTTGGATGTGGATAGCATTTTCCTCATGAGACTTTCGGAGATGTCTTAGATCTTTGCATTGCTGAGAAGGGTTAAGTCTGTCAAAGTTGTTGTCTCACAACGTGGCTGTTACTGTGTACAATGTTCTCCTGGTTCCGCTCACTTCACTCAGCATCAGTCCATACAAGTCTTTCTAAGTTTTTCTGAAGTCTGCCTGCTAGATTAATTTTCTTTATGAATAAATCTCCCTCCTGCTCAAAAGTCTTCTGTGGTTTCCTGTTGTCTACCAGATAGCATTTCTGGTCTTTTACAATCTGGTTACCACTCTCCCTTTTTGTCCTTGTCTTATTGCTCACCTCCATGACTTTGTTTATGTTCTCCCTCCCTGTTGAATGTTTGTCCTTTGAGTCTTAAAACTCAAATGCCAACGTTCCTGACATCTCTTCACCCCACCTCCCTTTATTCTACATCTCTCTAATGCTTTTGCCGTGTAATGTCATTGTATTTGTTTTATCTCAACCCTCTCAAGCTGTATGCTCCATGGAGGCAGGGACTGTGTGAAATTTTAACTTTTTATATCCTTCCAAACACCTGGCACAGGGCAGAGTCTTATAGCAAAGCACTGGTGTAATGTTTACTGATTTGTTTTATTTAGAAGGTTTTCTTAATTTCTTTAACTTCTCTCATAGAAGAGAAGCAAAAAAGTGATGCTGAAGAGGATGCAGGTACTGTTAGTCAAGAGGATGAAGATAGAAAACCTAAAGCAGAGGTAAGGAAAGGCCAGTTTGGAGGTGTAACAAGAGTTTTCATTTCTTTAAATTCATATTAAAACAATTACAGTTGTATCATAAGTTGCACTTAGAGACTTGAATTCTGCAGATTATACATATACTAGGCTGGTCATGGAAGGAATCACGTTTTATTTGTTTTGAGATTGTGCAGCTACAGTACAAATACCAAAATCAGTTTTCCACAATAAATGGTATGAAAGATAAATTCTTCAGTTTTCTTAACATTTTAAAGAGTTGCCCTAATGCAAAATTAAAAATTTCATGCCTTTCCATCTAAACTCCTTAGTCTGAAATTCTGGCCGATGTCATCATCACTACAGTCTTTCACTACTGCCTAACACAGATAAATCCAGTCCTACAGATGTTTCATTGTCCTGGGTGTCCCATAAGCACTCCTGCTTTTATACCTTTGTTTATAGCTAATGCCTCTCCTTGAACTTGTCCAAATCCTACCCTTATGTCAAAGCCCAGCTGAACTCTCATCTTTTCCATGAAACCCTCACTGATTAGTGTTTTTTTTTCCTTAAACTTCTAGTTTTTCATTGTCTGGCATTTGGCATGTGAAGCCCTTGTATTGCCTTTTTCATTTTATACTTCATTGGTCCCAGATGTCCACCAAAATGCTATATGATGGAGAGTGCAATCTGGCATAGGATCTAGGAATCTGGAAAGGTTTTGTTCAAGCATGGACCCAGTGGACTACTACTAGTATTAGTCCCAATGTAAGCACCCATAAATACATACGAGTATTCATCATAAAAACTGGTGGTTGACAGAAGTCTTTCAGATCACAATCACTCACCTTTTAGCTTTTGTTAAAGTTAGACTTTTGAGGAAAGTGTGTCTTGTATTCAGTTTGTTATATGGCCCGTCTTAACTAGATTGTATGACCCTCAAGGGTAGCACCTATGTCTTAGCCATATAAGCACTCTAACAAGCATTTCAGTAAGTGTTTGTTGATGATATGATGGATTTCTTAATGAAATTCTTTTCAACCAACAGGAAGATGAAGTTTTGAACAGATCACCCAGAAACAGAAAGCCACGAAGAGATTGAAAGAATTTAAGAACTTGATCTGTGATTCCCTTTTTCCCCTACCCTCGATGTGATCCTAGGAGAGGACCTGGGACACACCTTATATGTTGAAACCCAGAAAAACCTCAAGACTTCACTATCAACAGATTCCAGTCAAATACTATCCAATGAAAATTTGAGCATCTAGCAGTAATTAATAATTGCAATTGTGATAAAAAGAACACCATTCCTGTAGAAAGAAAGCAATTAATGTATGGGCTATGGATTATGGATGTAACATGAAGCAACTAACCTGTTGGGGTTTTTTTGGTTTTTGTTTTTTTGTGTTTTTTTTGGTTTTAAAACACTTTTAAAAAATAGAATGTTAGAGTATTGCCAATCTTCAAGAACCTTGGCTTAATTTAATGTATTAATCTATCCATGGAAAAATAACAGCGAAGTTTAGAAAATGCTAGGTGATGAATTGCAGTTTTTATAACATAGGTTTGTTTTTTTTTTTATAAACTTCGATATTCCAAAACATTGAAGTGTCTATGTCCCTTAAAATTGATAATCATGTTTAAAGTGAAGTCATTTGTGTGGATAACATTGATTACTCTCTCCCACTCCTACCTCTTCTGGAGATTTGAGATTGGGGGAGAATTCCAGACCCTAATAGATACTGTTTGATTAAGCTGTATTAAAAACAGAGCTACAAAAAAGGCCCTTCTTTTTCCACTCTATTGGAAGGAGCATGATTAGGCCACAATATGTGTGTGTTGTGTTGCCTTTGGTTACTGCTAAGTTCCCAGTATTCCATAGTTAGCACTGAGAATAAATAGGTGGGGAGACTTACCATTGGTACTTAGGCATTCAGGCTTCCCAGGCTGGTTGTCTGGGCTCTAACCTTATGTGATTTCTCTAGACTTTGAGCACTACTCATTGGGGCTGTCAGGGGGTGTGCAAGTGTGTATGTGTGGGGACTTAACAATTTCTCCTTCCACTCTGTTGATATTGTTTTCCCCATCCCAGGCTTTTCCCTGCTGCTATGCAGTTTCTTCAGAGTGCAGCTTGCCCTCCATTGCTGGAAATGATTATATGCTCAGCACAGTGTTAAACTTGAGTGGTCATATACATATATATATATAGGGTTTTAAAAAAAAAAGACCCAAATGTCTTCAGTGTCCAAATACAGCATAGAGCATAGTCCTTCATTATTCCATTTATGTCTTTAGAGATTATAGTGGTCAGAACAGACAAGCGGATTCAGATTTGATTCAAACTGAATGCAGTTGTTCAAAATGTTGGGCTTAACAATGGAGTTGTGTGGGGCTTGTAGCATGAGCTTACCTGGCATACATAACTGTTGAAATTTTTCAAATCTTTATTTGCCCTTCATTTAATAATTGCATCCTTAAAGTACACTGAATGTAGGGGATTCCAATTCAAACAAAAAGATTGCTAAGTGGCATAGTGTGTTGCTGGTTTTAGGTCTTGGGGGAGGTGGGGAAATTAAAATGCAGGTGGGGGTTGTCTGAGCATTTGCTTCAAAGAGTTAGTGCTTTGTAATGACGTCACACTCTACCGAAATTTATTGGGAGCTGGATGTTGATATTTTAGCTCTATTTGTTTAGAATAGCTTGAAACAAACTGATTCACTGTCCTTGCACTGAATATGTAAACACTCCACAGTGTTCTTATTGGGAACAGCATGAGGTGATAACTAGAATTCTCAAAAAGGAATTGTGGTGTCAGTTTATTTTGTAGACTACTCCATGACTGGCACCTTTCTTTAAAGGTTGAGAGGCAACAGGTGGAGGAGTAGAGAATATTTTTTCTGCCTGTTCAGTGCTATCTCCTTTCATGTTATCTTGCTAGGTCAAAGTGGCCATAATGTAGCAATGAAGTCCAGTACAAATAAACCTTTGTTTAGTAAGGGCCTGAAAGCATGTTTACAGGTATCTACTTGAAGCAAAAGTATGGGACCATTGCGCTTCCAACTGTACCTTCAGAACATATTATGTGCTTCTCGTTGAGTTTTGGTGATTTTCTTCTGCCTGGGCTATGGAAACTTAAGCTGACCCTGCATTTTCTTGATTCTTCAAAATAGGCATTTTCATGCACCCTACATGATCAGGCTATTTTCAGGACTTGTCCCATAGACTCCGTATATTGCCTAACACAAGTGTTTTTACGAACAGGGGCTCTTCCTGGTTCACTCTCTCCTTCCCTAGTGTAAGGTGAGGCCTCCCACTTCAGTGTCTGACAGCTTTGTCGTGGATGACCAGCAGCTCAACAAGAGGCAACAATGTTTAGTTATTTTACACTCCAGTTGTCTGGTTCATTAATGTGCAAGTTCCTGTCCTCCAACACATGTGCTCCTCAGTTTCTCCCATTCACAGAAAAAGTGCTATTTTCCATTTGTCAAGCTACTCAGTGGTGTTGCATTAAAGCTACATGTTAATCTCTTCTGCTTTTGACTAAGCTTCTTTACCTTCGTTGTGCATGTTTTCTCTTTCAGTGTGCACTACTTTGATTTTTGAGGGGGAAACGGTGTTTAAAGTCAGGCTTCCCCTTAACTTCCAACACATTGTGGGAAAGTTAATATAGATCTTGACTCGACAGAAAGTATTAGGAACTGTCTTAGGAAAGTTTTGATTTTTATAGAATTAGAATTTGGGTTCAGGAAAGGAAGCTGGGAGCCTGAACAGCAAAACAAAGATAAACATGCTTGTTTGGTATTGTTGGTTAGATCATAGATTGAAAGAATTTTCAGCTGTTAATTTGTTAGGTGGTAAGGATTTGGGGGGGGGCCAATGATGATTGTTCTCAAAAAGTAACCATTGTTACTCCAAACCAGATACTAGACTTCAGTTTTGATTTCTGATATTAGGAGTACTTTTGAAAACTATGCCAAAAGGAAGCTTTTCTATGAATAGAGGAGTTTTTTATGTTGCTGTGCTAAAGGGGGGTGTATATAGGTGCAGCAAAATTGATGCTCATTACTGGCTCATATTTGGTTTTATCTTTAAAATGGAGGAAGTAGAGAACATTTCCAACAAATAGGAAATCTGCCCTGAGAGATGTATGGTGACCTTAGGAAGAAAGCTTGGAGAAGAGGGTTGGTGTTACTGATAAAGGTGGTGGTCATGCAACATATGTTCTTTCTTATGCCTCCACTTAAGGGCAGTAAATAGGGTGCTCCTAGCCAGTGACTTTTATTTTATTTTACTTGATTTGGGCCCATCCAGTCTCTAAAGCCAGTATTGCCTCCATAAGTCCACGAGAGCAGTTTCCTTGTATTGCTAAATAGGAACTGTTCTCTCAGCAACCACTCCCGTGTCTGTTGTGGAAGGATAATTATAGATGCAATATGCATATATAAATATATTGGATAAGTTATAATGTAACAGTTTACTCTAATAAAGAAAATTAAAATCTGTTCAGCTTTTCCCTTTTTATTTCGAATCGGCACCAGACCTGAGCAATGGGGGCGTGCCTAATGACCCAAGAAAGGCACTAGCCTTAAGAGGCAGAGAAACAAGTTTTTAGTTTTACAGGAATAAATTCTCTGTCTCACAATTTAGTGTGAGGTAATCTTGTACCCCTAAGCTATAATGATTGACATTCCTTTTGTTTCTGCATAGAAGCAGCAGTTTTCTGCTTATTCCGCATCTCTCTCTAGTCTGCTCCTGTACGTGAAGGGGGTGTATGTCTCCACAATCGCCCCTCTCTGTACCTGGTTTGGGGTTTTGAAAGGCACAAAAATCTCCATTGCGTATTCATCTAATTAGGAAGTGCAAACCTACCAGCATTTGCAATTTGATTGCTGAAGCTTAAGCATTTATAGGCTTAGTATATTGTCATTTGATTAGAAAAAATAATGGTTTCCAGAGGAGTTAAATGGGCTTCCTTTTTTTCCCCCTTTTTTTCCTGGGTTTGCCCCCAGCAATACCAGGCATACTGTTGATATATTTATTCTTGCGTGGGACTGTTTGATACGTAACAATGGTGTTCTCCAGTCCCAGGAAAAGCGCCGAAAGAAAACGGCTGGAAGTGAACTGTACATCGGATTCAAGCAGCTAACCCTGGGCCTAGTGGGCCCCTGGAAATTGGCATTAGCAGACGCAGGTGGGAGGCCCTAAAAGGCTGGCTTTTGCATGCGCGTTCGGGTCATATATCCCACTAAACCGACTTTATCTAAATAAGGGCCAGAGGCTGAGGCAAGTCAGGGACGCCTTTGGACACCCTCTGATAAGGAAAAAGGTTGCCCTCGCTGGCTGCTAACCGTGTCAATCGTTTTCTAACTCATCCAGCCTCCTTTCGTCTCAATCCTTATCAAGTCCCAGACTCTCGTCTTCTCATTGGTTGCTTTCCTTTTCTTTTTCTTTTCAGTTCCTTTTAAATATTATTTCCGTCCCAATCCTTCGCCTTCTCATTGGCTGCCTTCCTTTCCCTTCTTTTCAGTTCCTTTTAAACGCTATTTCCGACCCAGACCTTCGCCTTCTCATTGGCTACCTTCTTTTTCCTTCCCTCCAGTTCCTTTTAAACGCTGTTTTTTCCGAGCCTAAGTCCCGCCCCGCGCACATAGTTCCAGGTGCGTAGCTCTCCTGTTCCTCTAGGGTTGGTCAAAGACCCGTCTATCAAGCCATGACGTCAAACGTAGGCTCCGTCGCCGCCGGCGGAGGGCCCGCCCCCTCCCGAAAGCGTCCCGAACAATTTCAAGATGGCGGCGGCGGAGGCGGCGCGGAAAACAATGGAAATAGGGCCGCGGGGGTCGGCCAGGCCCTGAGGCGGGGAATCGGGGCCTTCGCCGAGGAGACGCTCAGTGCCCGGGCCTGCCGGGCAGCCGCTTCGTCCTTTGTGCGCGGCGCCGGCCTCAGGGTTATGGCCCGACTGTAAGGAGAGCTGCCCCTGCCGCCGCCGGGAAAGGGAAGGGGAAGGAAGCAACCACAGGGGCCCGGGCCCGGCTCGGGCCGCTCGGGTGGGACAGCGGAGGAGGCGGCGCGGCCCGGCGCCCGCGGCGGCCCATGGTGCTGCTGCCGCCCCCCTGCCCCATGGCGGAGTTCGCGATTCCGCGGCACAGCGCGGTCATGGAGCGCCTCCGCCGCCGCATCGAGCTGTGCCGGCGGCACCACAGCACCTGCGAGGCCCGCTACGAGGCCGTGTCGCCCGAGCGCCTGGAGCTGGAGCGGCAGCACACGTTCGCCCTGCACCAGCGCTGCCTACAGGCCAAGGCCAAAC